GCTTGTCTCCAGGCTCCATTCTCGTGATCTAATCACCCTCCCCCCAAGACCCTACCTCCTGATGCCGTTATGCGAGGTCAGTTTTGGCTTTGCTGGTAGGGTATAATAAATATTCACTCCCCAACAAGGACGGAGGAGCCATCTTCCTGACCTGTCAGATTCAAGTTTTCTTCATGAACCCCTTGACTGTGAAGTCCCAGCCTCCATTAATATCCTGAGGCGACCCTATGACCTGCTGTCAGTGCGCATGCCAGCCCTAGGTCCTGTGCAGCCAGAGGCTCTGGGCAGGCCTTCCCCTCCAGTGTTGGGGCAGCTTGGTGTGTCTCCAGTGCTCTCCCAGAGAGCGATCTCATCCTGCTCACTTAGTCCCAGCACTTGAAACCTGCTGCTTTGATGGAACTTGTGAGCTCTTCAGCCACAGGAAATGTCACTCTTCCTCTTTGCTCTCCCCAGATTCCCGTGTGTCCGTCGGCCTAGGATCTGTCTAGGTTTGGAGTGCACAGTGTCTCTTTAAGATCCCCCCTCCTCAGGAATCCTTGACACAGCCTCCTCCAGGCCTTGTTCCTTCCGCTTTCCTCTCTCCTTGCTTCCGTCCACTTCCATTGATCTGTACTTGTCCATGCCCATTCCCTGATTGCCACTGCAACATCTATAGTGAGGTAGCATGACCAGGACAGGCTTGCTAGCATGCACAGCCTGCTGGGAATTTCCTTGTACAAGACAAAAGCAGGCGTGACCTCTGCCACCCACAGCTGCAATGGCTTTGTGACTTATCACACCTTAATGCACTTCTTTCCACCGTAGTCACTCCGAGTGTTTGCTGTATCTCAGCTGCTAGAGTGGCAGAAATTAATGATGTGGATGTCTCTCCTCCGCAGAGGTCAGAGACTCAGTTATGAAAAGTCACCAATCACAGCACAAACTCATAACAACACATCGCTGCTGTAAGTGCTATGGAAACCAGTGTTCTCAGAGTTCAGCGGATGTGACATGTTGTGTGGGCTCAGTAGAGACATTCTTTTTAATAAGACAGTCTACACAGGTGCTCTGAAACCTGCAGGCTAATAATGGAACACAATAACACAACAAACAAGAGAGAGAGAGAGTCGTGGAGAATGCATTTGAAGATCGCAGGCTATTATCCCAGAGTTCTTTTCTCTTCCAGCTGTGGGGCACCTCTGCAGAGTAGCTGCTATGCCTTTGAGAGACTGCCCTCTTGTCTCTTTCTTGAAGTGGTTCCCATAGGATCAAAATTTGAAGAATGCAGCTGGGTGGAGGCACAGTAGGAAATGGTTCTAGAAAGACTCGAAGTCAACATATCGCAAGATCCTTGCAGTGTTTGTTTATTCACTTTAATATTTACAGCAGCCAAGTGGCAGAATCAGCTCAGGTACCTGTCTACAGATAACCAGACACACGGAATGGAGTTTTATTCAATACTAAAGAACAGTGAAATTATGTCATTTGCTGGAAAATGGATGCAACCGGAGATTGATATGTTAAATGAAAAAAAAAAAAACAGATTCAGAAAGACAAATATATTAAATATATTTTTTCTCATTTGTGGGCCCTAGGATTTTTATAGATACATAAAATTAAATAAATATGTATATCTTAGATCACATATGTAATAAAAGCAGAAGGAAGACTTGGGTGGGGAGAGAGACTAGTGGGAGAATAAGGAAGGGGAGACTAAAGAGAAAAGGTAGGAGGGCTGAATATGGTCAATGCCCTTGATGTGCTTAAAAATAATGTCTATATTAAACTCAATACTACGTACAGTGAATATACGTCAGTGAAAGAAAAACACCTAGGAGAAACAACGCCAAGAAATAAGACAGAATTATGCCCGAAGTGGCATAGCACCGGGCATGTGACCATTGCTGCAAAGGAGGTCTTCCATGGGTTAGCTTTTTTTGTCTGGCCCCCTCCTCCCCCATCACCATCAGGATGATGCTGTGTCCTTGTTTTCCTAGGGCCATGAGCCCTCCTCTGTCACAAGAGCCCCCTCCTGCTCGCCTTCCTCACTGTAGACTCTTGTCTTCAGGCAGAGTCCAGATGTCATCCTCATCGGGGTCTGAGGGAGTTTACCCCCGGGAAGACCCTGAAGAACATGTTCGTGTTCGGACACTAGTGGGTGCGCTAACCACCTCACTAGGAAGACATCCCGCTGCTGTGGAAGTCAGTTTTGGCAAGGCAGGAGCAGTGGGCATGGCCAAACCTGGAATCAAGCATGCTGAAGTTCTACTGCATCTTGGGTGTTTGCTTTTCTGGTTTACCACATTTATAACCGTCCTGAACAAACAACAGAGACAAGATCCGAAATGCCCAAATGTCATTATTCCTCAAAGATTGACAGGAACAAACTGGCCGAAAGCACCGCCTTCGACTGCCCACAGAGCCCCCTGGAGGCTCTCCAGGCTTTTAGTGGTTTCAGAGCCTCTCCCAACCCCCAGTGACCTTCACAGAAGCTGCCTGTCCTTTCATGTTGAAAACAGCCTTGTCTGGAGGGAGACATCAGTTACTGCTGAGGGAACGCAGCTGGGTTTGTATGTCCTCTGTCGAGGCTGCAAAGTGTTTCTGGGCGTTTCTGGGGTTTGCTTCTCAGGGGAGGCAGTGGTGTCTTGGAAACGCCCTTACTTCTGCACAGGAGTTATCTACTCCTCTTGCTACCGACTTCATTTTCTGCCCTGATGAGGGGGCCAGCCGGCCCTTCAGCCCCATGTGACTTTCATTCTGATGCTAAACACTAAGGAATGTTGACCATGCAGGCTCCTCTCTAGGCCTTTTTGAAAACATAAGACAACTTACTAAGTTGAATAGTGAATAAGAAGAATAAATGTTTTAGCATAAGTATGGCCCAAATATTTCACAGGGAATACTTACATAAAAAGGTTATTTGGCTTACCTAAATTTCAGTTTTACTGAGGCAATCTGTATCATATTTGGGGACTCTACCCGCTTACAAGGAATCCTAGGGGTTCACCAACTAGATGGCTAGATTTTGGGATGTGTCAATGACCCTCTGTAACCAGCAGGGGGGCAGTATGAGCCTTTGATGATGGGCAAGTAGTTGTGGGATTGCCATCTCCCCCTCCGAACAGATCATTTGGTTCTCAGCCTGAGGGTGGTGACTCCTTTGGATTGAACGGCCCTTTCGACCTTTTCACAGGGATTGCCTAAGATCATCCTGCATATCAGATATTTACATTATGACTCCTAACAGTAGCAAAATTGCAGCTAGGAAGCAGCAATGAAAATAATTTTATGGTTGGGGTCACCACAACATGAGGAACTGTATTAAAGGGTCACAGTATGAGGAAGGTTGAGAACCACTGCTCTTGATGAAAGATGTGCACTAAAAGGTAGTTGGGAATTCCTCTTATCTGAGGCATTTCAATTACTTCGAGAAACACCTTTCCCCTCAATATGAAGTGTACCAGCAATATTGCCCGTTAATCTTACTGCAGACAAAACGGAAGTCAAGACACTTCCCAGCTCAGGCTACTCAGATAGCATTTAACGCTCAGTAACCCAAGCCTATTGCTGATGTGCACTCTGCCTGTCCAGCGCTGAACTGAAGATTGGGTTTAGGGTGTCTGTCTGACAGTGCAGACCCCTAAGCTAAAGTCAGTGCTGAGCCTCCGGGATTGTCTTGACACACAGTAGCTGGGAAGTGGAGCCAGCCCTGGATGTCCATCCGCAGATGGCTGGCTGGAAAAGTGTGGTGCATATCTCAGCGGAGTTCTGTGCAGCTCTAAGGAAAAAGTAAACCATGGCATTTGCGGAAAAATGCACGAACTGGAAATTCATTACTGTGTTAAGAGAACTAGCTAGACTTAACAGACAAACGCTGTGTTTCCCTTACACACAGAGCCTAGATTTAAAATTACACATATGCATATATATATATATATATATGTATGTATGTATGAATATAGCCCCGGAGTTCAACCCATTGATGGAGGTTTTGCCCTACATCCCACCCCCCTTCTCTTGGCCTTATTTAGTCTTGGGGCATCCCTTGCCTCTGAGGCTCTTTTCCTGCCTCTTGAATTCAACCTCTCATGCTGTTAGACTGATGATGAGATTGGCCCATTCTTGCACCCCTTTTCTTCATGGCACACAACTGGAAGCCCCATTCCTAGATCTGGCTTCCCCTCCAGGTGACACTACAGGAGACATCATTTGGCTTAAGCCCAGGCTGGCTGCTGGGAAGACAGAAACTTGCTCATTCCCTGTGTGTCCTTGGTGTCTGTTCCCGTGTCCTTGACCCTCAGGCTACTCAGTGAATATGTGCAATGGAAGTGGTGGATTTGAAAAGATCACGGAGTGGGTGACTAGAAGCTGCTCTGGACATTGCCTTCCTGAAAGCACAGCTCACGAGACTTCATACAGCCCAACTAGATTTATTAGAACTGCAGCACAGGGGTGTTGCAAAACATTACTTTAACAATGTAGAGAGTTGTATTTGTTTATGCTGCATTTGTTTGCCGATGTAAAGATGTGTTGCTTTGCCTGCCTAAGGCACCTCATTGGGCTAATAGAAAGCTGAAGAGCCAATAGCTAGGCAGTAGAGGGATAGGCATGGCTGGGGGGCAGAGAGAATAAGTAGGAGGAGGAATGTAGGCTGGGGGAGAAGGGAGAAGAGAATGAGGCAGAAGGAGAGGGAGATGCCCGGGGTCAGCCAGGCAGCCACCATCCAGGCAGACATGGAGTAAGCAGGGAAATAGGACACACAGAATGAAAGAAAGGTAAAACAAACAAACAAACAAACAAACAAAAAAACAAAAACAAACCTGAGGCAAAACGTAGATGAAGAGAAACAGGTTAATTTAAGTTATAAGAGCTAGTGGGACAAGCATAAGATAAGGCTGAGCATTCATAACTAATAAGTTTCCGTGTCTTTATTTGGGAGCTGGTTAGTGGCCCAAAAGAAAGCCTGCTCCACAGGGTCCTGAGGTGCAGGCCAGGTAGCTTTCCTGGGGCCCCCACCACAGTTACACAGCAGCTGGATTGACCACTTTTCCCAGGAAGAGCAGACTCTGGGTGGTCACCTCCCAGAGAAGGAGCAGGAAGGGCCTGTTGAAATGAGCATGTGGGGCCGACGTCATGTTCAGAGACAGGGGCTGGGAAAGGAGGCCAGAGGCAGCTGCGGCCTCAGTTCCCTTCTCATTCATGTCCACTACAGCCTTGTGTGACACCTAGGAGAGAAGACAGAGTCAGCACTCATGGCTCTGAGGGCAGAGGCCACCTTCCCCTCCGCAACCCTTGGACAATGGCATAGAACCTGTTTGGGCCCCTCAGGTCTAGCTTGCCTAAGAAACAACCCCAATTTCTAGGTGTCACGCCCCTGCCTCCGTACTGACTCCCCCTCTCTAGACCAAGTACCCTGACAGGAGGCAGCCTCAGCCCAGATGAGGAGCTAGGTAGACTCAAGCCCAGCAGGCATGCAGCACACAGGCTTCTTTGAGCTTTACCTACCCTTTCTAAACTTCCTTATTTCTCTTCTTAAAAATGGCTTGTGGCCAACGGCAGGCTCTAAATGAGTAGGTTGGAACAGAGCCCCACGCTGCTCTCTAAGCACAGAACGTTGAAAGTCTCAGTTTTACGTGACTTCCTAGTAAGAAAGGACTCAGACTTCCAAAGAAGTTAGGGACGTGGCTTTGATGAGTTCTTTTATCTCCGAAAGGGTCTGTGAAAGATAACTGAGGCGTGCTAGGCCGCTGTGTGAAGTTCTCTGAAGTCTTTCATGTTCTTCTTGTCCACCACCCCACACCACAGGGGTTCACATGCGCACCCTCATACATACACACATTCCCATCCACTTCCAGGCATACCCTATTCATGTATGCACAGAAACAAGATCACACCCCTGCTGCCTTGGCTGTGCATTGAGTTCTCAGCCAGTCTCTCCTAAATACGAGACAGAGTCCATTCCTTGCAAGGTCCTAACAGAGACTCTGATGGTAATGAACACCTCTAACCTAAACCGAAGAGGGAAGGGCTTTGGACACCTTCCCTCCTGGGTAACGCTACCCTTTCTGCTTGACGGCTACAAATTCTCGCCCATTCCACATGACTTGCAGTGTCTCCTATCAGGAGAGGACCCACCCCCTTCTTGTTAACAGGAGACCTGCTTTAGCCGTGAGTAGCCGTTACAAGCCTGTGGAGGGTGGAGGATGGAGGATGGAGGGTGGAGGATGGAGGGTGGAGGATGGAGGGTGGAGGATGGAGGATGGAGGGTGGAGGATGGAGGGTGGAGGATGGAGGATGGAGGGTGGAGGATGGAGGATGGAGGGTGGAGGGTGGAGGATGGAGGATGGAGGATGGAGGGTGGAGGATGGAGGATGGAGGATGGAGGGTGGAGGATGGAGGATGGAGGATGGAGGGTGGAGGATGGAGGATGGAGGGTGGAGGATGGAGGATGGAGGATGGAGGGTGGAGGATGGAGGATGGAGGATGGAGGATGGAGGGTGGAGGATGGAGGATGGAGGGTGGAGGATGGAGGGTGGAGGATGGAGGATGGAGGATGGAGGATGGAGGGTGGAGGGTGGAGGATGGAGGGTGGAGGATGGAGGATGGAGGATGGAGGATGGAGGGTGGAGGGTGGAGGGTGGAGGGTGGAGGGTGGAGGGTGGAGGATGGAGGATGGAGGGTGGAGGGTGGAGGATGGAGGGTGGAGGATGGAGGGTGGAGGATGGAGGATGGAGGGTGGAGGATGGAGGGTGGAGGATGGAGGATGGAGGGTGGAGGATGGAGGATGGAGGGTGGAGGGTGGAGGATGGAGGATGGAGGATGGAGGGTGGAGGATGGAGGATGGAGGATGGAGGGTGGAGGATGGAGGATGGAGGATGGAGGGTGGAGGATGGAGGATGGAGGGTGGAGGATGGAGGATGGAGGATGGAGGATGGAGGGTGGAGGATGGAGGATGGAGGATGGAGGATGGAGGGTGGAGGATGGAGGATGGAGGGTGGAGGATGGAGGGTGGAGGATGGAGGATGGAGGATGGAGGATGGAGGGTGGAGGATGGAGGATGGAGGGTGGAGGATGGAGGATGGAGGATGGAGGGTGGAGGATGGAGGATGGAGGGTGGAGGATGGAGGATGGAGGATGGAGGATGGAGGGTGGAGGGTGGAGGGTGGAGGATGGAGGATGGAGGATGGAGGGTGGAGGGTGGAGGGTGGAGGGTGGAGGATGGAGGATGGAGGGTGGAGGATGGAGGATGGAGGATGGAGGATGGAGGATGGAGGATGGAGGGTGGAGGATGGAGGATGGAGGGTGGAGGAGGATGTGAGAGGAGCCACTGCGTATCTCTCTCATCTTCCTCTTCTTCTCGGAGAGTGGGATTTTTCTTTTAACTTTACCTTCCATCCCGGGAAGAAGTCACAGGGAGCAGCTCTGCAGCCAGGGCTCCACAGTGAGCTGCTTCCAGGGTGCCCTACCCGCTAGAGATGGGCCGAGCAAAGCAGCTGCCCTCTTGAGCAGAGCGTTTGTGCATGCCAACAAGTGTCCACCACAGTTGGGCTTGTTGACTATCGACATTCTCTCCCAGAAGGAGGGAGATGAGTCCTCAGCCGCTCTCACCTGAGAGTCTCAGCCATTTGTACACAATTCCACTCTATTTGCATGTGGGTCACCATGTCTGGAAGAGTCTATGGCTGGGGAGGTTGATTGAAGAAGGGCTCTCTATCTGTGCTGAGGGAAGATTTTCCAGTAGGGGCTGACTTGGGGTCAACCATGCTCCAGTCAGTAACCCCTCACCCATGCCCTGTACATAAGCCTAATGAACTCAATGGCCCCCCAGAATGAACTTGGATTGAATTGTACTTTGGTTTGTTATGGGACCTGATGAAGAACGGGTAGATATTGTTTACATCTCCTCTGGAAGGAATCCTCACAATAAGCCTCTGCTGTGCTAATGCATTAGGATGTAGGGGCTTGCCGTGGGATGGTCTGTATGTCAAATATGTTGCTGATTGGTCAATAAATAAATCACTGATTGGTCAGTGGCCAGGCAGGAAGTATAGGCGGGACAAGGAGGAGAATAGAGCTGGGAAGTGGAAGGCTGAATGGGGAGACACTGCCAGCCGCCATCAGGATAAGGAAGATGTAAAGTACCGGTAAGCCACAAGCCACGTGGCAAGGTATAGATTAATAGAAATGGATTAATTTAAGCTGTAAGAACAGTTAGAAAGAAGCCTGCCACGGCCATACAGTTTGTAACCAATATAAGTCTCTGTGTTTACTTGGTTGGGTTTGAGCGGCTTGGGACTGGTGGGTGAGAGAGATTTGTCCTGACTGTGGGCCAGGCAGGAAAACTTTAGCAACAGGGGCTGCTTGTTACTGTGGTGATGCTGACCACTACACCTCATGTTCATGCTGTATTACTTTCTATAGCTATAACAAAGATGGAGAGCTCCTGGTGCCTGAAGGGGAAATATTTGGAATAAAAGGATTCTACACCTAATCTGGCGTAATTCTGGCTCTGTGGATGACTTCAAATGATTACCATTTCACTTAGAATCCTACATTCCTGCCCAGACTAGTGTAGATCTAGGGAAGGAGAGATGAAAATGGAGTTGTCCATGAAGAGAATCTGTGAAGATTGTGTGTTGAAAAGTCAGTCTAGGAAAAAGACTGAGGACCGTGGCTTTCCAATGCACTTTGTGTGGGAGAGAAACATCCCTCCTCCCCAATTCCACACTCCCTGCCTTACCCTGGAGACAGTTTTGTTGAGTTGCCCCATGATTCCTGATAGGTCAACTTCCATGCCAAATATGTTGCCAAGACCAATGAGGGGAAGGATCTCTTCCAGGTTGTAGGTTGCAGAAATTGAAAACCTTGGCAGGTGCAAATCCAACAGACTAGAGAGAGAATCAGAGAAAAGGTGCTGTTCTGCTGTGTGTTGCAGCCTGGGTCTCGAGAAAGAGCAGGGTACCCCAGCTTGTGGATTATCAGTCTTCCTGTGATGTGATTTGCTGTGGTAGACTATTCCACTACCACATCCACCTACATCTCCTTCTACATAAACCTCACAGTGACTCCTGGCTGGATCTGAGAAGTTTCCTGGCAGAGGAGTCTGTCTCCATCATCCTCTCCCTGTTTGTGGAGAGCTTTCTAGATGCCAGACATTAGCCAGAGTTTCCCAAGGCTCCACTGATTGAATGCACGTGATACCAGGTAGAATAAATACCATCTGCACTTCTCACCTCCACGTCTGATTCATCTGCAGGTGCTCCAGGCTCAGTTTCCCAACTGTATCTTAAATCAATTTACTGGCACTGCCCCAGTGCAAGCCACCGTCATCTTCCTCCACCTGCCTGAGCTTTACTGGAAAATGGCATAGAGATACCCATCCCTAGAGCTGCTGTAAGCATCTAGAGCAGTGATTCTCAACCTGTGGGGTCTGATCCCTTGGGCAAACCTCTATCTCTGAAAAATACTTACATTACAATTCATAACAGTACCAACATTACAGTTATGAAGTAGGGACAAAAATAATTTTATGACTGGGGGTCATCACAACATGAGGAACTGTATTAAAGGGTTGCAGCGTTAGGAAGGTTGAGAACCACTAGTCTAGAGAGAGGGCTCAGGAGTCCTAAGCCCAAAGACAGAATCTCCCATCCTTACCATCTGATTGCCATGTTCTGTGGGGTGAGTGCAGAAATATCTCTTAACTTAGAGTAAATCTACCTTTTTTTGATGACGTTATTATGCTTTTTCCTTATTTATATGCTGATTGCCAGGACTCTGTAAAATTGGCTGGTTCATAACCAGTCCTCTTGGGAATAGCCTACTTATAAAGAACTCAGTTTAGATTACTGTTGTCGTGGTCAGCCCACTGTGTGTGGCACCATCCCTGGACTGGTGGTCCTAGGTTCTATAAGAAAGCAGGCTGAGCAAGCAGGAGAAGCAAGCCAGTAAGCAGCACTCCTCCATGGCCTCTGCATCAGCTTCTGCTTCCAGGTTCCTGTCCTGTTTGAGTTCCTGTCTTGACTTCCTTAATGATGAACAGTGATGTGGAAGTGTAAGCCAAATCAACCACTTCCTCCCTAAGTTGCTTTTGATCACAGTGTTTCATCACAGCAATAGAACCCTGACTAAGACACCATTCCTGAGAGAAAATCTTCTAGTCTAGAAGATTCCATGGTCCTTCCTCCTGCAATGAAGCAGTTTATCTTGGAGGAGCCGAAACTATACAGTTGGAACCATGGACCGACAGGAGCTTTACAGATTCAGGTAACTACTTAACCCTGGCTTTTCATCTTGACTACATCTTTCGCGTTCTTTCACTCATTCATTTGGGGTGCTTTAATCTCTGCCCAAATACAAGGCATTCTTTCTCTGCTAGTGGTACTGCAGCATGACGGGGTGCTGAGAGAGGAAAACTGTGGCTATGAAGAGAGACTGGTGCCCACCAGGTTGTGCTGGGTTAAAAATGGCATCCCCGGAGACCTGGGGCTGCTCTGGCCAGTAGGCTATAATGGGTGCTCATGGGTGTGTCCATGCCTTAAAGAGTGGCGGCTTTCGAGTTCTATCCTCTTGTGTACTTCCTCTTGGAATCCTGAGCAGCCACATAGCCATGTCAGTTATACTGAGCTGCTTTCCAAAGCCAGCCTGGTATGGATACAAAGTAGCCTGCTTTTCCTAATCTCTTCTCCCGTCAACCCAGCCCAGGCCCCAGAAACACAAATGAAGGAACCTCCTGGGCCTGAGTCTCTGCTTCCACCTGACCCCAGTGGATGAGAATGGCCTAGTTGAGCCCATTCAGTGTCGAGAACCAAGAGTGCCGATGACCTGGTTCTTTAAGCTTTTTAGTTTGGGCTAGCTTGTTTTGCAGCAAAGATAACTAGAAAACTCACAACCAGATTTCATTCCAGACCACCCCATAAAGGCAGATTCCCCCCCCCAAGAAAGGGTTAGTTAGTCAGTAAATGTAGATGAGGGAAATTAGATAAAGCTAAAATTGGAGTTGGAAAACTAGAAATCAATTGTAAGGAAGATGGCAGGGGCTAGGTTAGGGGTTGTGGGAGGGGAACCTCCCTTCCTTCCTTCCCTTGCTTCTTCCTTCCCTCCTTTCTTCTCTTCTTTCCTTCATCTCTTCCTTTCCTTCCTCCTTTCTCTTTCTTTTTTCCTGTATTAAACCCAGAGCCTTATGCATGTTAGACGATAGTCTATGCCAGACCTATGCACCCAGTCTATCCATCTCTGTTTTATTGTTGTTTTTAAATCTTGAGACAAGGTCTCACCAAATTGCTCTTGAACTCATTCTGTAACTCACACAAGCCTTGAACGTGTGATCCACCTGCCTTGAGTACCTGGGGTTATAGGCCTCACCACCAGATCTGGCTTTACTGGTCTTGATTTCTCTAATTTCTTTTAAAATGTTTTAATTGAAAAAGAAAACTGTTTTTAAACACACGCACTGCTCTGTGGGCATCATGGTCATCTTTAAAAATTGTTCTTATAATTTTTTTTTTTTTTGCAGACTTAGCCACTTCATGGCTTTAAATTATTATGAAACAGAGGGAAGTAAGGGAAATGAGATTGGGCCAGAAGGACCCCAAGGAGGGATAATAAAGACATCCCAGAGAGCACTTACATTCTAGTACCAGCCTACGTACTCAGGTACTGTCTCCGTTCATGCCCACTTCCATGCAGTAGGTACCATGCCCTTGCTTAACACTCAAGGAAATCTGACGCCCAAAAATGTGGGGAAACCACTATGAAGGCGAGGGTGAGATGCTAAGGCAAATCCAGCAGACAGATCTTGGGGCTGGAGCTGATCAGACTTGCCTCAACTCTTGAGCAAGGACAGACAGCACCTTGGGGCACTCACCTGGGCAGGAACCGCTGGCCCCACCTTCTCAGCGTCTCAGGCTGGAGGGCAGCTTCTACCTGCTGCATCTTCCCCGGGTCAGGGAGAACCAGCAACAGCAGGGCCGTGCCGCTGTACTCGATCTGAAGGACAGTGCACGATGCCTCTTGGTCGTACAGGAACCTGTGCATTTCCTTCTGCCGCATCATGGGGATGCGGAGCGCTGTCCTCTGGTCCAGGAAGAAGCTCTCCTGCTTCCGGGTCTGGTAGCGATCAAAGGGATGCTTCCACTTGGCTGAGGGTACAAATGAAAATGTGGGCAAGACAGCAATTCAGGGAGACCTCCACAAGGCCGTGCGGGGTGGTGACGTCCGCTGGAGTGTGTCGGAAGTAGTAGAGCCCAAAGCCAGGAGGGACTTACGTCCCTAGGGTCAGAGCTCAGTGACCTATGCTTATGCTACATTGCGAGATTTACTCACAAAGCAGACACAGGGTGTCTTCCTTGTACAAAGCCTAATTTCTCTCTTTTAAGCAAGATTTGTTTTTATTTTATGTGTATGAGTATTTGCCTACCTGCATGTCTAGTCACCATGTATGTGCAGTGTCCAAGGAGGCCAGAAGAGGGCTTCAGATCTCCCAAGACATGGAGTTAGAATTGTAAACCGGTGCTAAAGAATTGAATCAAGGTCCTCCTAAAGAGCAGTCAGTGGTCCTAACCATTGACCCATCTCTCCAGCCCTCAAAGAACTACCTCTTAAGACGTAAGTCATCAGAAATGAGTAAGAAGAGTGCATTCTTAGTAATGTAGTAGGCATGAGTTGATTGATGCACCCTGATTTCCAGAGCCATGACGGCTGTGAGCTGGGATTGGTGGCCTGATTCTGACAGCACAGCTCAGGTTGTGTGGGAGTGTGAAGTCAGTCATTTGACCGGGTGACTCAGCATCTGTGAAGAGCTTCAAGCTGGGGATGGTGGCCCACACCTGCAATGTCAGCACTCGGGAAGCTGAGGGAAGAGAATCACTTACTCCTCAGCCTTCCATTCATTCATTCATTCACTCATCGATTATTTCTTTCATTTATTCATTTGATGCAAGGTCTCTATGTAATCGAGGCTGATGTCCAATTAGAATGTTCCGAGCAGGCGGTAGTGGCGCATGCCTTTAATCCCAGCACTCGGGAGGCAGAGCCAGGCAGATCTCTATGAGTTCCAGGCCAGCCTGGGCTACAGAGTGAGTTCCAGGAAAGGCACAAAGCTACACTGATGGAGGGATATGGAGAAGAATAGGATGCTGAGATGAAGCCATATATACACAGCCAAGAAGAATGGACAGCTGAATTAAAAAACCATCAACAATTTCCAGAATTTAAAATCCTGAATCATGACATGACACTAGTGGAATTCAGGTGTTTCTGGTACATGGACTACTCTCACTCAATGTGAGGTTGAACTGTTGACCTTGTGTACATCCTGCTTCACAAATGAGTCTGTCGGATATGCTGGGCCTATAGGCTGAAGATGATGCCCCAGCACTTCGGAGAAACCTCAGGTGACTGTCCAGACAGCTGTCTGTTTCTGTCAACTCACAAATTTTTTGGAGGTTGCTTATGTGCACTTCCTGTTTTTATTTTTGTTAGCTAATATTATTTCCTTCTTGGGTCTCTGAGGGAGTTGAAGATTAGTTAGTTATAGTTGAAGGTTAGTTAGTTATAGTTGAAGAGTAATTAGGATACATTTTGAACTTACCAAAATAGGATAGATAATGAAATTATTTTCTCTGAATTTGTCAAATACAAATGGACTAGACATTGTTTAGGTATTTATTACTTGTATATATTGTATATAGTTATTATCCTTTTGTATATAGTTTTTCTTATATTAGTTATAAGCTTTTTCTTTTTTTTCCTTTTTATTAAAATAGAAAAGGGGAAATATGGTGATATTTTATTTGTATTAAAATGTTATTTGTATGTTAATAAATAAAGTTGCCCGGGGGTCAGAGCTATTAGCAAGCCATAGGAAAGCAGGGCAGTGGTAGCGTATGCTTGTAATTCCAGCACTTAGTAGGCAGAGCTGGGTAAGTCTCTGTGTGTTCAGGGATACAGCCATTATTGGATACACATGCCTTTAATCTTAATACCAATCATGGAAAACCTGGAGGCCTATACAGACAGGCTGTGAGGAGGCGGTCAAGTGGTTGGGTTTACAACCAATGAGAAGGCAGGACAGGAACTCTATATAAAGACTTTAACACAGGGGTAGCTCTGTTTTGGAGAGGTAGGACCACTGCAGGAGGAAGGGTAAGGTTTTGGCTCTTGGCTCTGACCTCTTGGCTTTCTTCTTTGCATTGGTTCTGTGTTTATTGTTTGATGGGAAGGTTGGATACATCTACACTACACAAAGAAACCCTGTCTCTGAAACACACACACACACACACACACACACACACACACACACACACACACACACAAAACCACTAATAGGAATTTTCCTGCCTCAGCCTCCCGAAGGCTGGGATTGCAGGAACGTGCCACCACGCTGAACTAGATGTCTCCTTTCTGGGAAGTCATGTCTTAACCCAGGTCAGGGTCTATGTTGAGAGTTCTATGATGCATACTTACACCATTCCTCTGAACTATGCTTTCTTTTTCCTTACTTCTAAGCCACAGGGCACATGAGCTACACAAGGGGAGGGGAACTATCTTATCCATGAGCAGCAGGCTCCTGGCTAGCCACTGCAAACAGAATGGTTGCTTACAGAGAGGGCAATAGTTCTGTCAGAGAAGTCTCACCTTTGAAGAAGATGTAGTTCAAGAGAACCATGAGGGTGTCATGGCCAAACTCTGGGAGACAGCCCACCACCTGCCCGTAGGTCTGCTTCCTCACCAGGTCGTTGATCTGCTGCCCTGTGGCAGCTGCATCTGTGAAGTTGGCAGAAAAAGCCAGCGCTCCGTACAGCTCCTTGGCGCTGTCCAGAAAGCGCTGTTGAGGCTTCAGCTGCCTGTCTAAGAACAGAGAATGTCCCACTTTCAGCTCCAGTTTGGGGCTGGGCAGGTCAAGGGTGTGCAGGAGGCTCTGGAAGCCCTGGTGGGTGTCAGCTGCTGGTGTCTCTGTGAGGTTGAAGCCCAGGCCCTCCAGAATCTGAGCCTGAGTGTCAGCAGGTGCCCCAAGAGAGAGAAGAGCCACAATGCTAGAGAGGCTCACGGGGGAGAAGAGAATGTTCCCGGGGACTTCCTTTGCTAGCTGCTTGTAGAGACGCAAAGCAAAATTAGTGATGGCGGGTGTGACCTTGCGATAGGAGGGTGCTGGCTCCGGGAGCTGGTGGCTGGCTGGTTGAGGCACCCCTAGACTCTTCTCTTCATGGGCAGAAAATGGTTGACAATGAACGGGGAGCAGGATCTTGGCTATCAACAGCCACAGCCACACTGGTCCCATCATCTGAAAAGAAGACGGGGAGCATAGTTAGTCTTGGTAGATGACACCATCACCCCCAGACTTACAATGAAGCCACCACCCATGCCTAATCCTAAGAAGGGAAAATGGGGGGCAACTGGGACTCCAACTGGGAAATAGATCCTGCATTCCAGCCTTCTTCCTGCCTCCCTGCCTCCCTCCTTTCCTCCTTCCTTCCTTTCCTCGTTCCTTCATTCCTCCTCCTCCTTCCTCCCCTCTCCTTCCCTCCATCCTTCCTCCCCTTTCTCTCCTTCATTCCCTCCCTCTTCTTCCTTCTTCTTATTTTCTTCTCATCTTTCCATCTTTATTCCTTATTTCTTCCCCTCCTTCCATCCTTCCTTCTTTCTTTCTTTTCCCCCCTCCTCCTTCCATTTTATTTTTATTTTTTCTGGATTCTTCTGGACCCAGTTTTTTTTAGATCATATATAATGTCCAAAGCTCCATCAGCTCTAAAGGTGTGCTAGGCACTGAGTATATTATGGAGAAAATAAGTGAACACAATCCCAGGATTCACAGAGTTTAGGGCAGTGGTTCTCAACCTGCCTAATGCTGCAACTCTTTAATACAGTTCCTTATGTTGTGATGACCCCAAACCATAAAATTCGTTGCTATTTTGTAACTGTAATTTTGCTACTATTATTATTTGTAATGTAAATATCTGATATGCGACCCCAAGAAGTCATGACCCACAGGTTGAGAATCACTGGTTTAGGGCTTAGTTGAGGCCATCCAGTGTTGGGCTGGGCAGATGCTTATGTGACACTCGTTAGAAACTAAGAGGATGCTATGAAGCAAATGTTCCATATGAACATGAGTGATGCTGAGCCCTTTGGGTGGGCTATGAGATAGTGCAGTCAGTTGCAAAGAAGAGGATAGTGTACAATGCCTCCCTTAGGCCTCAAGGAGAGAGGTCCTTTAGTCTTGAGACCTTACATTACCTTGGTTCAACCATCAACCCCACAGAGATGAGGGCAGCCTCTGAGGGAGGATGAAGTAACAGGACTTATGGCTTCTAAGAGGAGAGCTGAAAGAGAGATGTGCTCTGTCTCCATATCTCCACACCCCTGCTGCCTGGAAACCATCTACACTTGTGTGCAGCCAAAGAAACACCTGTGTGCATGGATGCAGGGGTACCATCTACACTTGTGTGCAGCCACAGAAACACCCATGTACATGGATGCAGGGGTACCATGTACACTGTGTGCAGGAACAGAAACATCCATGTGCATGGATGCAGGGGTACTATGTACACTGTGTGCAGTGACAGAAACATCTATGTGCATGGATGCAGGGGTACTATGTACACTGTGTGCAGTGACAGAAACAGTGACAGAAACATCCTTGTGCTTTGGAAAGATCTGTCACAGATTGATTTGTGCCTGCCCCCAATTCATATGCCTGTTTCCCAACCCTAAGACCTCATAGTGCTTCTTTACTTAGAAATGGAATCCTTGGCTGGGCAGTGGTGGCACGCGCCTTTAGCCACAGCACTTGGGTGCCAGAGACAGATGGATGTCTGTGAGTTTGAGGCCAGCCTGGTCTTCAGAGTGGGTTCCAAGACAGCCAGGGCTACACAGAGAAACCCTGTCTAAAAGAAAGAAAGAAAGAAAGAAAGAGAGAGAGAGAGAGAGAGAGAGAGAGAGAGAGAGAGAAAGAAAGAAAGAAAGAAAGAAAGAAAGAAAGAAAGAAAGAAAGAAAGAAAGAAAGAAAGAAAGGAAAATGGAGTCCTTACAGATATAATTAATAAGATGCAGTCATTAAAGTCGGTCTTTAACCCCATGTGACCTCGAAAGAAGAGGGCTTTGGATTCTGAGACACACCCACGGAGGATACTGGGGAAGATGAAGGCAGAGATGAGACATTGCTGCCAACTACAAAATGCTGAAGGTCACAGGGAGGGAGGGGCCTGGGATGGGTTCTCCAGCACAGCCTCAGAAGAGCCCAGCCATTGCCTTGACTGTGATGCTGGAAGACTGGTTTCCAAAAGCGCAAGGCAAAAATGTGTTTAAACCCCTCCTCCTGTGTGCAGAGGCAGCCCCCTGCAGGCAAGTGCCAAATGTCTTCTGCTCTAGTTTAAGTTGTGAGACACGCCTGAATAGCCTTTGGTCACCTCCACAGGGTTCAAAGAGAGGCAGGAGCTGGAAGAACCCTGCCTTGGGTACAGGGGAGGAGCCTGCTGTGTGGACAAAGCTAGGCTCACCCAACTTTGCATCCACTTCCTTCTTTTCCCTTGCAGGTGTCTCCCACCCCCACAGCCCTGCAAGGACATAGCGCCCCACCCCCACCCCCAGGCTGGATTCCTCTGGACCCTGATACCCTCCTGTGTCCCTCCAAACAAGCTCTTCCACTTTATTAATCACACAGCCAGTAGCTACAAGCTGATCCTTGACTCTAGGACAAGTCCTGAAAGCATCTGCATTGTGATCAACACCTTCTGTACGATTTGCCCATGTGATGGCCTTTGGCTCAGTGTCAACTGCTTGAGTGATGAGTGGGAGAGCCTAGAACTGCAGATGGAATACTGCCCCTGGCGCTCAGAATGCCCGCCAAATTACAAGAGCCATCTGCTCTCCGAAGGTGAGTGCTATGTGGAAACACACGGTGGGCATATCCTAAAGTCACATTCTCCCGCCAGCACCAGCTCCATGGACAGATTAAGGGAAGGTCTATGTGCTTGGGATGTTCCTTAGATAGAAAAACTGGAAGATGTAAAATAATTGAATAGTTGGTCTGTCCCTGATAAAGTAAGGGCAGAAACTGAGGGAGCCATTGAACTCAGCACCTCTCCCTACCCTGCTGCACCCCAAGGTGACTCTCAGAAGTGTGTGTTTCCCAAGGAAGACTGAACCGTAGCCAGGGCTACCATAGCCTGGGCTTGGAACTAGGGCTCTGCAGTTACTCATTGTGGGATACTGTCTCTGCAGTTCAGGGCCTCTTTTTGCAAAATTCAAATGGCAATGCCCCCCCCTTTCATGATTTATGACATCTGACGTGCAAACTACCAGTGCAGGGGAAAGACACTGCAGGAGAGTGTCTCCCATGGATACCAAGGCTGGGTGCAGCTGAAATCAAACACACTTAACTCCATTCCCAGGCAGACTCTCAGAGAAAATTCAGAACACTGCTCCTGAATTATAAACCGTTTCGAACTGTTTGCTGAAGTGCTGGGTACACTGGGCACATTGCATCACTGGTCTGCAGACAGAGGTGTTTACATATGTGTGTGGGGGTGGCATCCCAGGTCTGGTCAATGCCTGGAAGAGGAGGCATTACTGTTGTTACATGTGTGCGGGGAGGGTCTGTGTGGGAGCGGCATCCCAGGTCTGGTCAATGCCTGGAAGAGGAGGCATTACTGTTGTTTCCCAGCTGAGACTCAAACACCTGGAAGCTACTGAAATGCCAACAGTCATGGTCCTGCTCAAATACTGTGGCAGTTTGCTCTTTTGTTTAAATTAATGCTCCTGAGACCCTCCAGTCACAAAGACTCTTAACCCAATTGTGCATAGGGGGAAACTGAGGCTTAGAGTTGGCAAGGCTCCAACTTGGGCTTCTGTGCATGGGCTTGTTGCCATAAATGAGTTCTTAGTAAAGTTGCCAATTTTGCTTCGAGCTCTGTTTCCTTGTTGGCTTGCTTTCATATGTCACGATTCTTGATGGCTAAATTTTCCAGAGAAAGTGACTGAAAACCTGAGACTCCAGCTTCAGGATTCAGAGGCAGTACTCAGCAGGGCCATCCAGGGGACTCATTACCCATTTCTGCCTCTGAGGCCAAAAATGATTGATAGATGGCTAGATAGATAGATAGATAGATAGATAGATAGATAGATAGATAGATAGGTAGACAGGCAGAGGGACAGAGGCCTACCTTCATTTGGGGTACAGTGCATACTCACAGAGAAGTCACCCAGGTGGGCGCAGCTCCACAGCCCCACACGGCCTCCTGCCCACAGAGCAAGAGTGTTTGAAGAGCACAGCAGGCGGGTCAATATTTGTCAGGTCAGGTCCTGTCAGGAACTGACGGGAAGGTAGATAGGACAAATGGGAAAAGACCTTTTGTCGACGTGTGTGTCCTAGCTGCTGGTCCCACAAACAAGTGAGTGACCTGTGCTTCAGGGCCCCATCCTGTCTGAGGGTGTTGTGACATTGGTGACGGTCAATGGGGGCAGGGAGTGTGGGAGATGCTGGCCCTTGCACTGGGGCTTTGCAGGATCCAGCAGCCCGGGTGGTGAGACTGTGAGGAATGTGTGCCCATGCCTACTGCACAGACGGAAGCATGAGGCCCAGTGGCTTGCTCAGAAGTCACTCCAAGCCTTTGTCACCACGCCAAAGCATCCCGTTGTTTTACAGACACTTTAAATAAGTACGATCTGTATAGATCTTGGGAGGTGCTAGAGAGAAGTTTAGTATTGAAAGACTTATGAAGTGGGGGCTGGAGCAGTGGCTCAGCGCTTGAGAACAGATGCTGCCTCTGAGTATGGTTCCCAGCACCCACTTCGAGCGGCTCCCAACTGCCTCTAACTCCAGCTCCAGGGGATCTGACATCCTTCTCTGGACTCTCAGAGGACCTAACCTCATGCAAACACACCCACGCATGAACACACACAAATAGTAATAATAATATAATAAGTATTTAAAAAAAGAAAAGACCTGTGAAGTGGGATGCTGGGTTTTTTGTTTGTTTGTTTAAGAGATGGAGCAGAGGTGACTTTTGTGTTCTTGTAAGTGTGGGGGTGTGGGATGTGGGGTGTTGGGGGTAGGGTGGGGGTAGTGGTATGCCAAGTGCATATGCACATGTGTGGGGAACAGCTCAGTCTCAAAGGATGTCGTTTGCTCAGAAGCCATCCACCTTGTTTTGTGAGGTAGGGCCTCACACATTGGGCCCTGGGGTTCACTGATTGGACTATGTCAGCTGCCCAGGGAGCACCAGGGATCCACCTGTCTCTGCCTCCCCAGTGAGAGGCACAAATCACCACACCCAGCATTTTATGCGGGTGCTGGGAATCTAACCCATGTCCTCGTGCTTACAGGGCAGCCCTTTACCAACTCAGCTGCGTCAGCCTCAAGCCTCTTTGTAAGCTTTTATATTCTCCAGCTTCCTTACAGACCTTGTATCTTGACCGCAATAAAACGAATCAAATTTTAACATCAAAAAGCAGAATTCGTTTATTCTACAAGTAAATCTCATCAGCAAGGGGCATTTTTAAAGTGTGAACTACCCCAGGAGACTGCCCCTGATTCTCAGTGGGAAGAGGGAGTCTGTCTTTGTCACCCACTCCCTGATCCACCTGACTGATGCACCTTCTCCCTGGAGCATCATTCGGGGACAGCGGTGATGTCTATCCCTCTCCTCATCTTGAACAGTCTCTCACCTCCCTTCTCTCAGGGAGAGAGCAGGAAGCACTCTTAAACTCCTGCCACATGGAACCCACAAACAGCTGAGCGGGTGAAGGGGCTTGCTTGCAGCCTGTGCTCTTTGCTTTCCCACTGTGGCTGCACACAGGGTCCTGTGGGGAGCAGAAGACGGTGTGGAAGAGATGGGTCCAGGCCTGAGCTCTAGGGAGAAAAGGCCATGTGCCCGTGTTCCCTCACCTAGGATCAGTCTCTAGGGTCCCCTGACCGGAGCCCCTCCGGAGGCTCACAGGGCCTGCCCCACATTCTCTCTAGGGCTCTGGATCTGAGCCCCAGCTGCACTGACCCTCATCTCCCCGTTATGTTACCTGATACTTCCTGCCTCCTCATGCTAGTCCAGGCAGTGCTTATCTGTTCTCCATCCTGAAATATGTCCATGTCCCCTCCACAGTCACCATCGAGCCCCTTCCTCCCAGATGCTCGTGATGCTGTTACCGACCTGCCAACCTCATACCTCACCTCCCACTCCTGAAACTCTGACTCCATCAGAACAATCACTGATAAGCAAAGGAGCCCTGCTTTCTTTCGCACACACCCTGTCCCCTGCCTAGAATGCCGTCCCTGCCCCTTGTGCTTCCCAGGCTGACACCAGCCCCTACTCCTTCTTCATTCTTTGGATTCAGCCCAGATCTCTCCTGCAGAAAGCCACCCTAACAGCCTCCCTCTCCCTACCTGCCTTGGCTGTGCTAATTCTCCCTCTGGGAATGCTTGTAGCACTATCTATCACCCTCCATTTCTCGTGCTGGCTTGCAAAGTGCCTCATTTCCCCTTGGTCTGTGAGATCTTTGTGGAAATAACCTGTACCTAATTGGAGCTTGTGTCTGCTGTGTTGGCATGGGACAAGCACATGTGTGTTCTGCAAATACACACATGTTGTTTTCCACACAAAACCTCACTTTCCCACATTGATGACCTATTGAGTTCTGGAAGAGGGGGTGGCACGTTATCTAGCTGTGTACCCACGGGTGTATGGCTGTGTACATACTCAGGGTCACACAGAAAGCCTGAGTTAAACTTTGTGGGACATAAAACAAAACAAAAACTAGTTAATATTGGGGAAAATACTTGTAAGGAAGAACGGGTGCTGGCTGGGATGAGAGGAAAGTGAAAAAAGATGTGTGTGTGTGTGTGTGTGTGTGTGTGTGTGTGTGTGTGTGTGTGTGTGAGAGAGAGAGAGAGAGAGAGAGAGAGAGAGAGAGAGAGAGAGAGAGAGAGAGAGAGACCAGAGTGCCTTGTATACATGTACAAAATTGTCTAAGAACAAACTATTTATTATAACAGAAACTCACATTCTCTTCCAGAGTTATGCCTCTGTCAGTATGCCATGGTCACCTGTGACAGAGGAGGAAGGCAATGTGACTTATAGGCAACTTCTGAACAAGTGGCTTGTGATTTTGGACAGCAACAATGGCCATCCCTGTGCTGAGCAGAGCCCGCACCACCCACTGGATCCCGTGCCACACACCCACTCCATGTTATCACACCAATCTTCACAGCCATCACAAAGCAGATGACATGATCACTCTCCCCCAAACTCATTGTGCGAGGGCTCCTTTGGGCTGCAGAGAGGGGCTGTGTTATCACTGGAAAGCAAGCATGCACCACGGAGCAGAAGGGCACCCTCTTCTGCAGCCACTTCTGAGCTCTAAGTAGGATGGAGGATGCCAGGTGTCGGGTATCATGGATGCCTCTGAGGATGGGGAAGCAGGGAGGTGGGTGGTGGGCAGGAGCCAGGATGACATTCTGCATAAATAGCTGCCTTTCTCCACAGCTCCCAGGTAGGGAATCAGCTTACAGAAACATCTTTGCTTCTCATCTTCTGACCCCCTCGGTAGTCCTCCATCCTGAGCTTGGTCCCTTCTACCTCTTGCCTGCATGCTGGGTACCTGTGTTGCATGTGAGGTCCCCAGTGTCAGACCCCAGAAACAGCTCTAACCCATGTCTGTGCTCTGCCGGGCAGAGACACAAGTTGAAGCCATGTCACTGTACTTGCTAACCTTCCCAATGCCTTCCTCTCCTCCTCCTGCATCACTGCAAACTCTACAATGTGGGAGTGATTGATTCTTCAGCACACCCCAGCCTCAGGGCTGCTTCTGCCCATAGTAGGTGCTCAGTTCAGTTAAATGCCTGCAGACTGACTCATAGAGTAGGTGGTGAAGAATGGACATCCACTTAGAAATTCCAACAGCCTAGTGCCCTGGGCAGGGTGCCCACATGGTCTACAATGCTTTTTTAAATATTCCTGCACAGATAGGAATGGGCGGCCATTGTTTTTATTTACATTCTAAGGTGCTTAGGTAGCTGCCATGCAGCCGGCTCAACCATCCACCCTGCAGGCTGATTAGCACTGGAGAGCCCATATTCTGCACACCGTAGCCAGGGAGAATACCCAGCGAGAGCAATGAATGGTTTAATGGAGAAAGGAAGATGTTCCGTTGAGGAGATGCCTGGTGTGTAAGATGCAGAGCTTGGCTAGAGCAATGGTTCCTTGTCTTGCTGCTGTGACCAGAAATCAGCCTGACAAAAGCAGATTAAGAAAGCAAAGGTTCCTTCTGCTTCTTGGTTCGAGGTATAGTTCAGAGACGTCTCAGTGGCCGGAACTAGAGTCAGGGGGTCACATTGCATTCATAGCCAGGAAGAAGAGAGCAATAAATGCTTGTGTCTGGGTTTCTCCTTTATATTTAGACAGAGACCTCAACCCAGAGAATGACATCCCTCCACATTAAGCCTTTCTACCTCAATGGATGGCATCTACATAACCCCTCGAAGACACACCCAGAAGCTTCTCTTTGTTTAGTTGACAATCAGTCCTAACCATCACAGCCTAAAACATCATACATGTGCCTCTGGAATTGTATGAGCAGGCTAGTGCCTGGTGCTCTGGGTTCAGAACTGGGAATCTGTTCTGATGCTCTAGTAACCCTGGGCTCGATTACTATATCTGCCTTTAGAATATTGTTAATTATCTTGGGTGAAACACTCATGCCAGGGTTAGTCATTCTTGACATTCTGTAGCTGATGATTTTGAAGTCATGGGCCAGCCCATGCAAAATTCAAGCCTTCCTACCTGTGTTTTGCTTCCTGTCCAGCAGAGGGCACCCCACCTGACTTCCTTCTGAAAGCAGGTGGCAGTCCCCAGCGTAAGTCTTTCTGGTCTGTTTCTTTCTATGTAACAGAGCATGGGGAAGCCAGCCTGGGGTCCCTGTGTGACACATGTGGGGTGGTGGAGCACAAGTACCTCCATAAAAGGAACTCCAGCTTTGCTGGAGGCTGTATGGGACACGTCAGTGCTGAGAAATGAAGTGGCCAGGAGCCCACCTGGGACACCTGGCAGTGGGGGCAGAAGGGACCGTGCGGAATGAGGCAAAGGCAGCTCACTGGGACCAGGGCGTTCAGTATGGCCTTCAGGATACACCCGACTGTTGTCACTACAAACAGCCACAGCCAGGGAGAGGTTGCGTGCTCGAGGACTGTGTCACAGGACTGAAAAGGTGACTGCATTTGAAGAGGTCTTGACAACCCATACTGCATTGACACTCGCTATGTACCTGCCCCAGAAACCCTGTGGGCTTGCTGTTTCCATCCCTTCCCTGTTTTAGGTGGTCTTCCTGGGAAGTGTGCGTTCCTATGCAATCCTCTCCCCATTTACCTGAGTGCCAGTATCTACCTTTGCATCTCTGATGGACGATGCTCCAGCCGCAGGGCCTCCCCACTGTCCCTCTGGTACTGGCTCACTGCAGAACCCCTTAACACTCTCTTGCCTCTCCTGTGAGTGTTCTGACTGTCCTGTACAATCTCCACGGCACTTACCTGAATTTGTCACAATGTCTTTATCCACAGCTTCATTTCATCCCTATTGAATGTCTCTCTCTCCCAGCATGTCAGGAACCTTGTCCTTGAAGAGCTCAATAGGCTGAACCAATGAGAGCATCACGACTGACAACCCGGCCACTCAGAGGTGAGCCATGCCTCACTCTCAGATAGGACCCTGGTGATGGGGGTGGGGTGGGGGTCTGTGGTCACTATGTTCACGTCTCAGGTTTATTGAATGCAGTGCTGGAAGCCAGCGATAGAAGTAAGGACACAGATCTCTGTGTGCCATCATTCCCGAGAGCACTGAGGAATGGGCACCCCCCTCCCCACGCGCGCCTGCCCTGCCGTTGTCCCAGAAAAGGCTGTGTGGGAGAACGAGTGAGAGGGACACTGTTGGGGTGACCAGGCTCTATTGCCACTGGGCTCATTGAGCCTCCAGAGTGCCATCCCTGAGGCAAATGTACCCCTGTTGGGGTCAAGAGAGCCAGCCTCAAGCAAAGAAACAAGTCTTGGTATCACCCAGCAAGCACCACCTAATATATGCCTTATTTCTTGTGCATCACCAGTGTGAGACCAGGCAACAGTTCACTTCCCACCTACATCTTCGTGGGATTTTCCACTTTCCCTAGAAAGAGAAGAGATTCTGTACTTTTATCTGAAAGCAGTATCAGGAAGGGCTCGTTGAAGGAGATGACCGAAGAAGGGGTGTCTCTTGAGCGGACTATAAGCTTGGTGGTGGTGGCTGCCGCGGCTTCTGTCCCCTCTTCACTGACGTCCAGCACAGCCTTGTGAGCAACCTGTAAAAAGGGGGGTTTGGGCAGATGTCAGTGGCTCCCATAGAAGCTGTGCCATGAGTCTGGTGTAACCAAATACTGATGCTGTTTTCTCTTCTAGGGAGGAGGTTTTAGCCTGCTACCGCTGGTCAAGCTACAGGATGGCCTGGGAACCACCTGTAAGGACAAGCAATTGTTTTCCCAGGTACCTATGAGTGTTCTCCCTGGGTAAAGCTCTGCTGGGCTGATCATATCCCATGACGCTCTTTCAGCCAATGACAAAAATGTCTCTAGAAGCACATCTGACCATCACAGTCTATTATCAAATTAACGTATTAAGCCCAGGACCAAAAACCTGATGGATCTGGACTTGGATATGGATCGAGGCTAGACAGTGAATAAAGAGACCTTCTGTGGGGTGTGGGGGCACACCGGCCACCTGCCAGGCTAAGAGTCTTCAGATGCAACAATTGCTATGTCATGTGGGACTTGAATTAAAAAATTCCTCACAAGAGAACAAAAAATCTGGAGTTTTAGATCCAGACTCCTCCCCTACTTCAGGACAAACGTCCCATCCACAGGTACAAAAGGCACCTGGGCAGTGCCTTTTATTACATGGGCTTGGGAGTTCAGCTGTTGGCAGGGAAGGAAGGGAGGCCGGATGCCCACTGTTCTTACACGGCAGATATGTGGCAACAGTGTTGCTTGCTAGCAACACATTGGCTCTTCAAAGAAGCAAAGATTATTTGCTTGAAGAGGGATTATGGGTACCTGTGAGTCAGATTGTGGTGGCCATAATGGCCCAGGCCTGGCAGCCATGAGGCTCGGCCTTTCCTTTGGCCATCAAATACTTCAGCCTCTCTAGTCACCTTCTCAGTAAGATGAGAGTCCTTTGTTAGCTGTCTCTTCCAGCATGGACTTTCTTACAAACATCTCCATCAACTTACTTTAGAGACCTGCAGAAAGCGCGTCTTTGTAATTCCGGAAAAGTCAGCATTTGCGTCAAAGGCATCGCGGATCCCCATTTTGGGGAGGATAGTTTCCAGGTTGTAGGAAGCAGAAATGGAAAATTTGGGGATGAACACTTTGATCCACCTATGCAGAACAGAAAGGGAATAAATGGGGTCATGATGTCTCCACCTCTGTTTCCGTGTGGCATTTCTGGAGACTTTGCTCTCTCCAGCACATTGGTGACTGCTAAAGCAGTCCCCACATCCCAGTCCCAAACTGCCAGGCTGCTCTGTCTATGAGCCTCCCAGCTGAGCAAGCCCTTCTCTGGGGATCAGAATAAAACATGAGGACCCTATAATCAAGTAAGAACTGGAGGTGAGATGATGGTTCAGCACGGGTACCACAGTAGAGATCCGGGGTGACATCAGGAAGTGATGGTGGCTCACCCATCAGCTACATCACCTGGCTGTGCCCAGCAGGACTTCCTGAGACAAGAGTGCCATGCTAATCTCCCAGAGAGACAAAACCCCCCCAGAATGTTGTACTGTTGCTGGGAATATACATACACCCTCCCTGTTTTCTGGGAATATACCTACACCTGCCCTGTCCAATATGGTTGCCACTGGCCAAATGTGGCTACTGAACAATCTGACACATGCCTACAGCAAAGAAGGAGCTAAACTCTTACTTTAATTAATTTATTTACTTACACTTATTGATTGATGGGGCTTGGTGTCACGTGTGCAATAAATTGTGTGTGTGTGTGTGTGTGTGTGTGTGTAGGTCAGAGAACAACTTTTGGGAGTCAGTTCTCTGCTTCTAACTTCGGGATATTGGGGATCAAACTCAGGTTGTCTGGCTTAGAAGCAGGAACCTGTAACCCCCTGCCCCCCAGCCATCTCACTGTCCCTTGACTTTATTTTATTTTACTTAATTCAGATATAAATGACCGTATGTGGCTACCATATTGGATAGCACAAACGTAGACTTTGGCATGATATCTTCTCTTGCAATATTTCCTCACCACAGAGCAAACACCACCATTTATTGAGCATTTACCATGAGCCACTATCCTGTGTACGTTCAGCAACATTTCTCTCGTTTCTAGAGATGGTTAAGCTTAACTGTAGTGCTTTGTCTACATGTATAGGCTTAGTTTCTCACAGATGTAAAAGCACAAGTTGTTGGAGAGATACCTCAGCCTTCATCTGTCAAGCCCCCTTGACACCTAGGACTACAGATGACTCCCTCTTCTGCTGACCTGGGCATCTGCATTCTCTGGCTCCTTCTGGTCTACCTTCCTTCAGTCTTCCCCATACTGTGTCTTCTTCCTCCACCCAGCACTGGTGCAGAGAAGAGAAGAAATCCTGAAAGTGCCCCTTGATTCTTCAGCTCCCATCTTTATCAGTGATGTTGCCTCCATCAGAAATGCTGCCCCCCTCCAGTCTCTATGGGTTTGTGTCCCACCTGAGCCAGGCTCAGTGAACTGGGACACCACTTGACCTGGGGCAATCCCCTCCAAACAATGTATCTAGCAACCCGTTGGCCACCTAGGACCCCTGACCTGCACAGAGTTGAACATACAGCTGCCTTAATCAATGGAATAATTTACTTTCCTTAAAAACCCCTTGATAACATGTCCCAGAACACAATCAGGAACTATAGGCAATGGACCTATCTAGCCTAGACTGGTTTGAGATGCATATTAATAAGGCAAACTATGAACTTTTAGGGAGAGCTCCCTATTTAGCAACTCATATCTATGCATAATTGGGTATGCATGTGATTAAAATGAGATGCGTATACGAAGAGAGATGAACAGCAAAGAAATGATTGACTATCTGACCTAATCTATCAAGCAAAATGGGGAACCACCCTTGCTGTGCCCTTAAAAATCAAACTCTTCCTCCTCTTGAACCTCATAAAAGGAAGCTCCAAACAATCGGGCCTTTGAGTAGCCTCAGTTGTGTGGCCCACTACCGCCCTTGCCAGTCTGTTTCTTTCTGATCTGTATTATGGCTTTGCTTTGAAGAAAGTTTCCTTGCTATTTTGAAATCTATGTGGTCTTGTATGCTGTGGGATGATCTGTATGGCAAATGTGTTGCTGATTGGTCAATAAATAAAACACTCATTGGCCATTGGCTAGGCAGGAAGTGTAGGCGGGACAAGGAGGAGAATAAAGCTGGGAAGTGGAAGGCTGAGTCAGAGAGACACTGCCAGCGGCCACGATGAGAAACAGCATGTGAAGATGCCGGTAAGCCACGAGCCACGTGGCAAGGTATAGATTTATGAAAATGGATTAATTTAAGCTGTAAGAACAGTTAGCAAGAAGCCTGCCACGGCCTTACAGTTTGTAACCAATATAAGTCTCTGTGTTTACTTGGTCGGGTCTGAGAGGCTGTGGGACTGGCAGGTGAGAGAGATTTGTCCTGACTGTGGGCCAGGCAGGAAAACTTTAGCAACACTTGTATTCCATTTGAATAAGAGGCCAGGAGCCTGGAAACATCTAGCCCAGACCCTGGCCATCACCGCATGTCCATGCTTGTGGCTGGATGTCATCACTGCCCCCTTTGGAGCATTCCCCTGCTGAAAGCGAGCTCCTTCTGCTCATGAGCTCCTGGGCACTTTGCCTGTCTTCCTAGGACATTGGTCCTTATCTTACTTAAATGCCTGTTATTCTCAGTCTTTTCTTTTCTCTTCGATGACAAACACCTGAGGAGGATGAAGATGCCAGGGAAATCACACAAAGAGACTAAAAATAAATATTCAATAATCTTTTGTATCATATAATTAATTTCCTCTCTCTACAGTACGTGCAAAGCTAACAACATTGCTCTTAGCTGATGTTCATTAGGCACTTACTACTGCCCAGATGTTCTCTACCACTTTCTAAATAGTAATGTGGCTTCAGCAACCTCTAACTCCAGTGACTCAGTGACACTGTGACCCTCACTTTGCAAGTGAGCACCAAAGCTTTGATTAGTTTGCTTTCTTGCTTTCATAAACATAATTTCATAAAACTCAATATCACCTTGGCTTCTGGGGTGAACTCTGCTTGGGCATAATACCACAGTGACAGAACAGCTGTGCATTGTGGCCTTGGGTGATTCACTGTGATGATTCGAATGAGAAATGTCCCCCACAGGCTTCATCATGGAACACTTGGTCCCTGGTTAGCAGAGCTGCTTGGGAAGGTTATGGGGAAGTGCAGCCTTGCTGGAGGAGGGACGTCGCTGGGGTGGGCTTCAAGGGTTTAAAGCTTTGCCCCTCTCTCAATTCATTCTCTGTTTCATGCTTGCAGTTGAAGTTATTGTCTCCCAACTTGCTGTCATCATGCCTGCAGCTTGCTGGCATGCCTCTCTGCTATGATGGACTCTTATCCCTCTGGAACTCTAAGTCAAAGTAAATAGTTTCTTCCTTTGGTCATGGTGTTTTGTCACAGCAACAGAGAAGTAACTAATACATTTACCATCAAGGAGCCTGTTTCTGTCTGGGAAATGGGGGAGGGGGAGGGAAGGATAATGAAACTGTTTGTGTACCAGGTAATGGTGAAGTTCATGTGGTGCTGTGTGGCCACAGTACCAAATTCACCATCTGGCAGGCAGTGGAGGCTTGGTACACTATTAGTACTGAATAGCTACTACCACATTCCCCGCCCTCCACCAACCCGTCCTTGGATGAACAGCTCGTAGCAAACACGTACCTCTTCTGGAGTGAGCGGCTCCACTTTCTCAGCCTCCTGGCTGACAGGCTCTTCTCCAGCTCCCGCATCTTGCCCTTGCCAGGGAGGACGAAGAAGGCCACAGCATCCCCCCTGTAGTCCATCTGTAGCACAGCGCAGCCCAGCTCTCTGTCCACTCCAAAAGCAAACAGCTCTGTCTGTTGCATCATGGGAACGTGCACAGTGGTGCCCTCACTCAGAAGGAACGGGAAGCTCTTGATGGTGTTTGCAGCACTGAAGGGCTGTGTCCAGTTGGCTAGCATGGAGAAAGGAGAGAGGGAGGGAGTACGTCAGTGCAGAAGCAGAGAGGGCTTTATGTCCCTGCAACCTGTCAGGTGAAGACGTGGGTGGGGGGTGGAAGAGTCAGAGGGATGAGGACCCCTGAAAACTCACTTCTCCATAAAAACAACAACTAGATCACCAGGCCCAGAGTTTAATCACACACACACACACACACACCATACCATACACACCCACCCACATACATATATAACATACATATACATAAAACACACACACATACATACCATATACCATACACTCCACACACATGCTCACACACAGAGGTACAAACACATGCACTACACACACTACGCATACAACCCCCACGTATACATAGCACACACACCATCATATACTACACACATATACATACCATACACATATATCACATATCATACACACATACCACATGCCACACACACACCACAAAATACCCCACATACCACACCCACGCTTGCGCACACACACACAAATACACCACACATACCATACCCACCTATCTGCACATGTGCTGTCACATACACATACCATATACTACATACATATAACACTCCATACACACTTCCACACACACAAATACACCTCAAATATCATGCACATGCACACACACACACACAGAGAGAGAGAGAGAGAGAGAGAGAGAGAGAGAGAGAGAGAGAGAGAGAGAGAGAGAGCCAACAATGGTCAGAATCAATTGATTTATAACCCTGGAAAATCCTTAAACCCTTACAGCTAACTGAGAAACAAAATATGAAAGAAAATAAGCTGTGTCTTGCTAGAAGTTGTGAAACCTGTGATAATTCTAACATGCTCTAGTGCTAGACTATTCTCTGTTCTGTGTAGTCTTTAAAAATAACAACCAGCATTTGCAGCGAAATCAAGACAGGGCTGGACCACTTTAAAGACCTTTCACGAGTCAGGCATAGTGGCTCACACCTGTGATCCAGAACTCGGGAAGCCAGGGCTGGAACACTGAATTAGGGGCTGTCCCAGGCTACAGAAAGAGAACGTACTTTAAAACCACAACAGCCGTAGACTCATTCCCGAAGAATTGTTTTTATCTGACCTGCCTCCTGCAATACCGAAAGAATGACTTATCAAATCTGTCTGTCTTTAATCTGACTTGGAGTTCAGCCAAGGCAAATATCATTTCCCCAAGGACAATTGCCAAGGCAGTGGCAGGCGGAACTCTGAAACACCTCGGGCAGCACATAACAGCTGTGACAAATAATCCACTAACCACAAAGCTTCAGAGGACAAACTGAGAAGAGAGGGGGAAGCCCCTACCAACAAAAATGACCGAGTAATTCCCCTACATGTCCGCCCTTCCCTGAACATGATCCCAGTCTTTCAGAACTAGGAATCAAAGCCCTGTGGTGATCCGAGGAGAGTTCATCGAGACAAATGGCTGAGTCTTGATATGAATGGTCAGCTTGGTGACACCTTTACTGGCACAAGGCCATTCTTTAGCCATCCTACAGCTCGGCAGTAGTCTAGAGGGATTGTAGACTGGATTAGTGCAACCAGAAGAGAGGAACAGAGTGTGTGTGTGTGTGTGGGGGGGGCTATCAATGTGTCAAAGAACTACCATGGTGTGACGACCTGCATGGGGTCACACAACTGATTGAGATTACTCAGTGCCTAATGCCTTTTCCCTAGAGGTGTGGGAGTGTGTTTCAAATGCGATTACAGGCAAGCTCCTCACTTCCTGGCTGCCTGGAGGGTGGATAAGAGACAAGGAGGTGGGAATAGGGGGTGGGCTTTGGGGGGAGGCTGGGGGCAGGAGGAGGGAGGAGAAGGGGATCAGTGGTTGGTATGTAAAATGAATAGAAAATTTCTTAATAAAGATTTCTTAATAATAAAAAGAGATGAGACAACAGAGAAATGAACAATAAATATCTAAAGAATCAAGTGTTTACAGGAGATTTGGAAACTTCCAGCATATCTCAAACATGCAGAGGCCCCAGATATGAGCAAAGCTAATGGCAGCTTGGGAACTGTCTGGGCATTTCAGAGCTCTCACTGTCGGCAAGCCTTGGGCTGCACAAAGAGAAAATGAAGGGTGAGTCAAAGCTTTAGACTGCCTGAGTCTGAGTGTGGATGGCAGGCTGCAATATGCAGGCAGTGCCCCTCTGCGACGATTGGGAGATCTTCCAGCCAAGAAGACATCTGTGATTTCAAAGAATTCATTTGGAAGAAACAGGAAACAGTTACCACAATGAACAGCAGCAACAAGGGTGGACCCTCCGGAAGGGGGAGTGCATGTCTAGAACTGATTTACACTATTTACAGTGTTGGGCTCAAAACATACAAGGGGGCTAAGAGCACTCACTGCTCTTCCAGAGGACCCAGTTCAGCTCCCAGCTTACAACCTCCAGCTGTAGCTCCAGTTCCAGGGGATCTCACGCCCTCTTCTGGACAATGTAGGCAACTGCACTTGTCTACAAATAGTTACTGCATGACACATATATGCATACACATAATTAAAAATAAATGATAAAATTAAAAAAAACAAAAAAGGGAAATGAAAAGAAACAAGAAAGTAGGCCCCAAACATCAGGGGGTGGGGAAAGTTAATGAAAGTGTTCCTAAGGAAACCCAGATATGGCCCTTATTAATCACAAATGCCAAAGCAGCTATTTTGAACATGCTCAAAGAGCTAAAAGAAGGTGTATTTAATTAAGCATCTGCTCGCAATAAAAAAAAGATTTGAAGTCATTACACAGAGTTCAGAGTTAGAAAATATGGTAACAGAAATGAGAATGTCACTACAGAGACTCAACGGCAGATTAGAGGTAACGGAAGACAATAACCAGTGAGCTAGAAAATGTATCAGTTACGTGTATAATATGAGGAACACTAAGGAAAAAGATGGAGGAAGAGGAACAACGCATCAGACCTGGGACACACCGTCAAGCACAGCAATACACACTTTATGGGACTCCCAAAAGGAGGAGAGAGAGAGAGAGAGAAGGGAGAGGGTGGCTATGGGAAGAAGTAGCATCCAGAAGCTCCCCAAATCTGTTTGAAAAACAAAACAAAAACCTTGCAGCACAGTCAACGATTTCCAAACCCAGACATGTCGTAATCAGTCAAAAGGCAAAAGAACTTCACAAGTGACTTGTCACACTTCAGGTGGCCTCAATAAGATCCACAGATGATTTCTTATCAGAAAATGTGAGGATCGAACAGTAGTTGGAGGAAGCAAAACAAATAGGCTTTTACCTGTGCTCTGGGAGCCTCTCAGGTTGGAACGAGACAGTACCAGATCCATACAAATAAATACCAGACCTCAGTAAAGGAGAGTGTGCTGTTAAACACGAAACAGAAGCCTGGGGGTCATGTGGCCGGGAATCCTACTGTATCATTTGCTTCATTCAGAATGCCTGAAATAGGCAGGTTGCAGAGACATAAAGTAGATTGCTGGTCTCCGGGAGGAAGAGCAGGAGTTGGGGAGCAATCGTCCTTATTGGGGGGAGATGGGATCTTCCTTCTGAGGGGGAGAAGGTTCTGTGGAATTACAGAAAGTAACTGATATCTGTCTTCAAAGCTGCTGCTCATTGGACATCAGAACAGCACTCCTTAATACACTGTGTCCTGGTAAACAGCAGAGAACTAGACAGATGTGAGTGACAGTCACCTACTCCCAACCCAGCACGGCCTCGGTGAAGATGCCAGCAACCAAAGACACTGACTTGAACACTTTAAAACGGTCTTATGCTGTGTGCATGACCCCTCATTAGAAATAAACCAAACTGGGTAATACATAGCAAACAAGATAACTCACAAATGAAGAAAAGCGGGTCTGTTTCCTTTCCCTCTTTTCTGTGTTTGATGGATGTGTGGGTAGATAACTAGATTAATGGGCAGACTGGACTGGTTAATAGAAAAATGGATGTATGGAAGAAAAGTCGGATGGATGAGCTGGTGGTTGGGTAAACAGAAGGATGGAGGGAGGGAAGGGAGCACAGTGGGGAGGTGGAAATGGGGGGAAGGAACCATGACACAGTGGCACACACAGCTCTGAAGTGCAGGCACTCAGCCTTGGGCATGGTCCTGTGAGGCCATGTGTACTTAGTGATTGCCCAGCCAAGCAGCATAGACGGGCACACACTTAGTCCTTGGCAGATCTTTTACAGCAACACACTTAGGACTGTGGAACAAGGCTGGGGGTGGGGGAGGGGCAGAGGTAGAATACGAACCCAGGGCTGGATGATTTCAAAGCCCATGCTCGTACAGCTTGGGAACAGTGCCATTCATGACGGTGTCTTTGTAAACAGCTCTTGTGAGTGACAGACCAACTTGTCCACATTTCCAAACCTTTGAAACTGTTCTCACTGTAGGGATGGCATTTTAAACCGGCCTGTCAGGGACCCTTGTGACACTGCTCTAAAGTTTATAGGGAGTAGTAAGGCAGGTGCTGGTGGCAAAATACAAGCTCTTTGTCTCCCAAATAGTTCCAGAGCACATTTCGGGGTCCTCTTTCCTGAGCTCAGTGTCAGCTAGGTCTTTGGCACAGCCCCTTGCTTCATGCTAAGACAGAGATGATTGAGGCCCCATGTCAGTTACTGAATGGCAGCTGGGAGAGTGAAGTCTGCCAAGGATGTACAGGTAGCTGCTTGCAAAGCTCATGAGAACTCAGACACACCCTGCCGTCTAGGGCTTGTTTTACATACTTGTTTCCTTGACTATACAACACCAAGAAGAAAAGAAATGTAGGGCTAGGGTTGTGTCTCTGTTGGTAATAGATTTGTGTGGCACACACAGAGCCCTGGGTTCAGTCCCCATTGCATAAATGGGGCGAGGTGAACACACCTATAATTCCAGAACTAAGAAGGTGAAGGCGGGAGAATCAGACGTTCAAGGTCGTCCTTAGTTACACAGCACGATGGAGGCCATCTTGGAACACATAAGACCCCGACTCAAGAAACAAATAAACACCCAAGTAAATGGAAAGGAAAGGAAAAAAGAAAAGGTAAATGAAGAAAAGAGAAATAAAAGAAAAGAGAAACTCAACCTCACCTTTAAAGAAGATATGGTTCACCAGGACCATGGCTGTCTGAGAGTCAAGGTCTTGGATTACATCCACCACCTTCCCTTTGGTCTCCTTCTCCACATAGCTGTTGATCCGTGCCTGGGCAGTGACAGCGTTTGAGAAGTCTTCAGAAAAGACTTTTGTCCCATAAAGCTTCTTGACCCGGTCCAGAAAATTGGCCTGCAGCTGCAGCTCCTTCCTGATGAAGAGAACACTTCCCATCCGCAAGTCCCGGTCTTTGTGGCATGCATTCAGTGAGTGGACCAGGTATTCGAAGCCCAGATGGATGGTGGGCTCTGGCATGCCCATGAGATCGAAGCCAAGACTGCGGAGGATCTGCATCTTGGTGGTTGAGCGGGCCCCCAGGGACAGCATGGCCAGGGAGGTAGAGATACTCACAGGAGAAAAGAGGACATTCTGACCTGGGCTTTCCTGAACCAATCTCCGGTACAGGGAGAAGGCGAACATGGTGTTGCTGGGAGACACCTTAGAGGCTGGGTTGCTCTTCATGGAGGGAGGGCGGGGGGACTCTCTGTTGCCGGGATTGGAATTGGATAAGGACATGCAGAAGATTGGAGCAGTGAAGCCAACCCATAGGAGAACTCGGTAAAAAGAAGAGCCCATTTGGAAGGAAGGAAGTCTGTAAAATAGAAGGGACCCATTGTGGGGAGGTAAGCTGAGGCCCAGGTGGGGCCTCACACTCTTCTATGGAGTCTCCTTGGAGCCTCATAGAAATCCTGTGGAGTCAGTGCTGTGTACTTTCTGATCCTACAGTGAGCAATAAGGCCTCCTAAGGGTGTGGCTATGCAACTTGGCACAGGTCATAGGTGAGGCTCTGCACTAACTGGGGTACCAGTTAGGGCTCCATCCCAAAGCCTGGGCTTTTCACTGTTCCTGTTTCCTCCACTTATGCTTTCAACCATCAGGACACTGAAAGTGTGTTACCTTGCGAGCATGAGGACCAAAGATATGATCTTCAAAGTCAGGAGTGACTGCCAGACCTTCGGAGATGCCTCTACATTTTCTTAGCCCTTCTGGATGGATGGGGTCTTTGCCTCCCTGCCCTGTCTATCCCCAGCCACCTGCATTTCCTGATTTATGCATGCCTCTGGAAACATGGAAACCAGGGCCTGGGGCTGTAGTTCAGTGGGTAGAGCATTTACCTAGCATGCACTAAGTTTTAGGGTTCCATCCCCAGCACCACATAAACTGGACATGGTGGCAAACACCTGCAATCCAAGCACTACTGGGAGGTAGAAGTAGGAAAATTAGAAATTCAAGGTCATCTCTGCTACAGAGGAGTTCAAGTCCAGCCTAGGCTACACGAGACCCTATCCCCGCAAAAGGAAAGCAAGCCAGCCTTTAGTTCCAGCACTAGGGAGGTAGAGGCAGAAGCAGGTGGATCTTTGTGAAGCTGCAGCCAACCTGGCCGACACAGAAACTTCCAGGCCGGCCAGGGCTATATAGCGAGACTCTGTCTAAAAAAGAGGCAGGTATGTATGATAGGGTGTGTCTGTAACCCCAGCACTGGGGAGGCTAAGGCAGGAGGACTGCCATGAGCTCCAGAGCAGCCTGAACTACATAGCCAGATTCTGTCTCAAAGTAAGGGAGGGAAGGGAAGGAGGACAGAGGGAAGAGGAAAGCATGGAAGGGAAGGAGAAACCCAGAACAAACTGTTCTTGGAACTATGAGTTCCTAGTGCTTTTGAGTAGCTGGCTCCAGTCAGGGCTGCCCACTTTCCTCAAGCCTCAACTAGAAAGACATTGGAATGTGAGGAACGGGGGAGCAAAGTGTTAGAGTGAATTAAGCTTGGTCTAAATGTTTTTCCATACTCAGTGAACTGTAACCCAACTTGTTATGTAGACGGACTGTAACCCATCAGTGTAAAAAGCAGAGGGAATGTTAGCCAATCACAGACAGCCAACTGTTCAAACCATGGGCAGATCAGGTGGTCACAAACCAATCAGGCTGCCCCCAGCTCACTTGTATTTTCTATACATCACCTGGTGTCACTATGAATTAAACCTGTCCATGTGGAATTTTATTTTATTGTATTGTTTGCTTTCTGAGAGAGTCTCCCTAAGTAGCCCAGCCTGGCATGAATTTGTATTTCTCCTGCCTCCACCCCCCAAATGCTGAGATTACAGGTAGGTACCACCATGACTGGTAGCTGGAGAACTCTGAATGGTTTCTTATCTGGACCATTGCCTAATTCTGTCATTATAAATAAAGCTGATTAAGGTCTGCAAAACCAGGGCTTGAGGAGATAGCTCTCAGTCAGTGAAGTGTTTGCCTTACAAATAAGAGGACCTCAGTTGAATCCACAGAGCCCAGGTTTAAAAAGCCCAGCATGTTGATGCAACCTTATAATCCCAGCTCTGGAGAGGCAGAGACCCACAGATGCTTGGGGCTTGCTAGCCAGTCAGCCTAGCCTACTTGATGGATGCTATACCAGCAAGAGACCCTGTCTCAAAAGCAAGGTGGATGATGCTACCCATGAGGTGACACCCAGGATTGTCTTCTGAACTTCACATGCGTGGGAACACATTTGCATATGCACTCGTGCACACTCATATACCTGTACACACACACACACACACACACACACACACACACACACACACACACACACACACTCGAGATATTCAGAGTTAGATCTGCTGCCATCTTCTCTTTCAGCAAGAGAAAGTGCCTCAGTGGCAGTAAGAAGCTCCAGTGGAGTAGGACTGGGTCTACAGTAACTCTGACATTCATCACAGGCGAGGGACCCAGCCCAACCTGTCTTCAGGTTTGTTTTTGTAAACAGGAGTCAACCTTATAGGGTTAACCAAATGAGTACAGTGGGTGCTCTTTAAATGACTTCCATCATTGCGACTGCTTTAATTGACTTTGACAAATTTAATTTAGGGTGATTTTGTGCGGCGGTCATTTTAGGCATCCCAGGCCTGTTCAGTTCCTAAACCACCCCCACGACACCTATAAGAGTTCTGCTTTAACACGCTTGTACAGAGGCCCTGTGGCTTGGCTGAGATTCTGTGAAGGAGGTAAATAGAGGACTGAAAGGCAGTGTGGGATCTGGGCCAAGTCAAAGAGGAAAAGAAAACAGCACATGTTCCAGCAAGTCATGACCTTCTGAAGTCTATGCCAGAACATTCTCCTTATTTTATAACTACTTCTCTATGGTCTGGATAGCCTTCACTCTATCACCCTTTTATAAGTTCCTTACCCTCTGTCAAACTTTGCTCTCTGATCACTTACACTACAATGTGAACAACTTCCACTTATTCTTGTCATGAGAACACCTTTAAATTTCACTTCTGACTGAGAAGGAAAGACTTCACTCCCCAAACAAGAATTTAGCCAACAAGTAAAAACAATAATTTCATCAGACACAGGGAAGGGAAAAGGCAGGAGGTCCTTGCAAAGAACCACAAAAATATCCACATAGTTACTCATCTATGTCAAATCTGGCCTGATGGGATGGCCGAGCACTTCCTGTAGCATCTGATATGATTAAACTTAGAAGGGTCTGCGTGGAGAATCCTTTTACAAACTTCTAATCCTGTTTTGTAGTCTCGCATGTGTCTGTCTGGAAGTAGGGCTGTCTCTGTAAGTCACATTCTCCGGTCTCACTTCCTGGCTTCTTATCAGTCTGCTCTATGCTGACCCTAAGATGACCAAGCAGAGCTCAGTCTCTCCCTTCTCCAAGATACCACACTACAGGGTACCAGCCAAGCTCTAAACTGTACTCTACCATCACCTCTTTTCTCCCTTCCCCTCCTTCTCTCCTGCATTGTCCTGAAGGCTCTGTCCCCTCCCCTTCTGACTATGTGTCCTTCAATAGAATGGTCCCCAGAATCTCCACCATCTGTGCCTCCAGAGCCTCTTGGGCATGCAGACAAATACCCTCCGAGGGTTGGCCTCTCCTTTCCACCTCGATGCTCAGTGCTATGTCCATCTGTTTGCCCATACTTGGCAATAATAGCTGTCCACTGTTGTCAGGAGTGACTGTCATGAGCTATTGTGGGCCATGACACAATTACAGCTTATAGCAATTGATAATTCAGATGCCAACCCACCAGATGAATGATTCTCTGATGGCGGAACCCTGTCAGGCAGGGTCCACAGGGCCACAGGCTCTGAAAAACTGGTTGCTTTCATCTGTAATTTTACTTGTACAATAACAGCTATGATATCTCCCTATTACCATGCATTTTCACATAATGTGCACATGTAATCTCATGATTGCATCTCAATCTTATGGGCACACATATTTGTGGATGGTCAGAAAGATGACTTCTCATTTAGCTGTATAATTTTGATGAGTAGAAATATACTAAAATATGCTTCTTAACTAGATCTATTGTTCCATGCGACTGTTAGACACTTAGAGATCTATTCCCCATCCTTGGCTTACTGACAGGGAAAACTGGCCAAATGAAGTGTCCTTGGGATAGATTAAAGGCAGAACTTTCACAGATTTTATTCATGAGTGAAATCGCAGATGTTTGGCTTTGTTTGGATCAAAGTCCTTCAGAAGACTAGAACTAGAGTGATAGTGTATAATCAAGGTTATTAACACAAGCAGCCTAAGAAATCATGCCAACCCTTTGCTTGCCAAGTCTAGCTGATAAAAGACTTATGTCTCAAGCTTATCTAACTGACACTGCACCACCGGGCTCTGATCAGAGTCTTACTCCTGAAACCTTGAAACCTTGTGTTGCCATGGTAAATGGCTCTGCCCTTATTGCTTACCCAATGAGATGTAACTTGTATTTTCTTCAAGTCTCCTGAGGAAAGTGTATTTAAGCTAGATGGACAAGAAGCTAGGGGGATTGGAATTAAAATTGGGACAGAAAATTAGAAAACTAAACAGATTTAGAACTACAAAACAGAAACTAAAGAATCAGAGCTAAGAAATCATAAACAATTGGAACAAGAGAATTAGAGTTGAAGAAGAACAATAGACAGGACTGGAGCAGCACCCATGTGAGTTACTCCATAAACTCTCAGATTAGACATATCATAAGTTCCCTTCGCTTCTCTGTAGCATCTGACCTGAACTCTGGAGGGGGTCTTAGGAGCTGGACTCCAAGGCCCCTGTCATACTGTGAGCTACCTCCCATCAGCCTCCCCACTCCTTTGCCCAGCAGTATTGGTTCACTTCCCCATCACCCTAGTGTTCCCCACCTGACACAGAGGCTCTGATGGAAAGGGAGATGATGTCTGCATAGCGCCGAATGATGCATATGGAGCATGCATAACGGGCAGGGGCTTGAAACAGCTTCTCCTTCTTGCTTTGTACTTGGGAGCAAGAAGATATAGACTGTTCCTGACTATTCCTGACCATCGGAGAGGGGATGAAGCTGAAGAAAGAGAATATCGGCTGTACATATGGGAAGGGGCTGCCTCTGTCCCTTTGACCTCAGGCAAGCTGCTGTATCTTGCAGAAGCTCAGAGGAAGGAAGTCCCAAAGAGGCCCTTCCTGAAAAGCCTGGGGATCCTCAAGACCCCAGTCACCATAGTCTCTGAAAGCATCACCAAAGCTCATTCTGTTAGCTTTCAAATCCAGCCTCCTTCTCTTCAGTCTTCCAGAAGACAGCTGCGGTACTGCCATGTCTGTC